CTTACCTTTGGTCCTTTTGAAAGTTGGGTTGATCGTCAAGGGCTATCTTTTGATCTGAAAATCTTGGTCTTTGGAGCACTTTGGTTTTAGTCTCTTCACCATCCGAGCTCTAGCTTTGAGGTAGGGATATCCTACTCTTCCTTATGGATTTTGTCTTTAAATTTTAGCATTTTGATGTGTTGGGTGTGGTTGGGTAGATTTGAGGAAGTTCGAGTCTTTTGTGTAATTTTACAAAGTTGGGGTTTTGTTTGTAATAGACCTATATGCAAGTTTGGCATAAAAGAAAATGAGTTGGATGATGGATCGTGGGTGAAAATGAAACCTTGGAGTTGTTTTGTTAATTGAGGTAATTTGCCCTAATTGTTTAATTAATTAACGTATATAATTAATTAAAGGAAATGAGGAATCAAAGTGGAAATGTTGAAATTGGGAATGCATGGGACTAAAGGGTGTAGTTAAATCATTTATTGCTCACCTAATTGGAATGTTGATATGTTATCCATTTGTGCATTTATTTCCTGTTTAGAAATAATTGCTTGGGGCTACCGGTGGAGGGTAGTGTTGATTGTTGTAGACAATGTATGATGATTAGGCAAACTAAAACTAATCAATCGGGTGTGTCAATGAGTATGACGGATGATAGAATACATTAACTTTATGTATTGATCGATTGCGTATATGACCAATGTGTTTATATGCATTATGTGTAGACAGTTGATAGAATACATTAACTTTATGTATTGGTTGATTGCGTATGTGATTCTGTGTTTATGTACATTACTTGTGCATGGGAGGAGATGGGGGATGTACTCCACGGTTTAGGGGAAAGATGGGGGATGTACCTCTAAACCGGTTAATGGTTAATGGTTAAGGGAAGATGGGGGATGGACCCAGGGTTGCAGCTCATATGCTCTCCCATTGAAGTATTGATACAGCTCATATGCTTATCTATTGAAGTATTGATATAGCTCATATGCTTATCTGTTGAAAAGTTTGTTTGATTTGATATAGCACTAAAATGTATATCATCATCATTTGCGAAGTATGGAAGTGGTTTATGTGTTATTGATACAACACCAAAATGTGTATCCACCGTGAATTTGGAAAGTGTCATAGTGGTGACCTACAATCTCATCAAAATGTTTTGGCCAGAGCACTGTGCCTTGTTTTCAAACTCAAAGCTATATAAGAGATGGAAAGTGAATTGTAACATAGACATGGCTGTCATGAAATTGTAATAAGATGTAAATAGAAGTGTGAGTATCGACCATCTATCAGTTGCTAATCTTTAGGCATTGTTTATAGTTGGTTTAGTATATCTCTGCTGGGCTGTGGCTCACCCTATATGGGAACGTCATTTTCAGGTACAGGTAGCATGCCACCTCTAAGGACATAGCTTGGGAGGCTAGAGGCGGACACACTTTTGTTGTCTTATTTCTTTTGATATGCTACATGTAAATTCAAGCTAGGGACTTAATATGTAATTGAGTAGTACTCTCTTTTGTAACCAAGTGTTAACTTGGAAAGCTGTAAGCCCGTAGGGCATTTGCTTTTGTTGTTGACATGTAATACTTTTGTAATGAAGTACTCTGATGAATTGAAAGATGTGGATCTTTTGTATATAAATGTATGATCATTTTGATGGGTTTAATGTTATTATTTTGAGGGCGTTACAGTCTGAAACTTCCGGATTTGAACCTCGTAAGAGGGATGGCAGCAAAGTTCCATTACCAATTCCAAAACTTTGGGAAAGAATGGCTCATAATATGAGGAAAACCGAAGTGTTCTAATCTTCGAGCTCAATAATCTATGACTCCTGGGTGGTTTGGGTAAGACAACACATGCTCAGATTGTGGACTGGGACACACTGTCTTACATTCACACACGTACACATACACATACATACATACTCTGCTTTATAATTGTAATGCAAAAAGCTAAATGATGATGGCGAAGAAACCAGAGCAACTACCGTGTTGCTGAAGTCTCTTTTGGAGTCAATTTCACATTAACTCGGAAAATGGTTTGGATAACCAAATATACGAAGTGAATCACCACTTGGCAAAGAATGCATTTCTGCCCGGACACACCTTAATCGGTGTCTGGAGCCCATCTCAATTTAGGCCCAAAATTAGCCAAGAGTCATGATTTCACAAACCATTTTACCAACATTGTGATACCTATTTTTGTGGGAATTGTTCAAGGAAGAAGACGATTGGGGGAACATCCGTCTGAACGTCCAGCCGGTCGTCCAGTGGGTCCCATCCTCAACGGTCATACACAGTAAAACGATGAAAGGTGCCCAAATTCTCAGTTTGGTGAAACATTTGCTATTTTCTCAATTTGATACAAGTTTGGTAAAACCATTGGAGTATAAACATAAATATTTTTTCATCAAATTTGAATTTGATGATGGATCTGATAAAACATTGGAGATGGCCTAACCCCATACCAAATGTGGGCTATGAAATTCGGACTGTTGTTGTGAGAAGAGGTTGCTAGTGATGAGCAATGTGGTCTGAGGGGAGCAAAAAGTAAAAAAAAAAAAAATTATTTTCTAAACAAGTGGAATAAAAAAAATTATTTGTAAGAGTTTAATAAAATTTCTAAATTATTTATAATTTTTTTTTTCAAATAAAAACAAACACAAACTGGTTTCTGTGTATATGTTTTAAAATATAAGCCTTACCAAATTATAAATGAAATACCTTAAGAATATAATAACATTTATTTTTGGGTAAATTACATTTACCTCCCCTGAGATTTCTGACAAATACAGGGACCTCCCCTGTGGTTTGAATAATTACAGTGACTTCCCCTACTTTACCTGACAATATATACAAACCACCCTTCTGTTAACTAGTCGTTAGACAGGTGATGAAAATTTCTTACATCAGCATATTATGGTGACTGAATACCAAAATTACCCTTTGTTCCTTGTAACCAAACAACCCACAACATCACAAATAAACATTGCTCTTCTTCCTTTCCCTCCTCTCCCGCTCCTCCACTGGTAGTATTACTGCCATCACCTCTCTCTCTCTCTCTCTCTCTCTCTAATCCTTACCACTTCCATCTCCTTATTATCCATTCCAAACACAACATTAAATATATACAAAAATTGTAAGAACTAGTAGACTTCATAATAGCATGATTTGTCTCTGCGCAGAAGTAACAATTCATAATATTTGGGAACTATAATGTGCAGGAAACAGAAACAACTAGAATGGCCTTAGCATATACATACAAATTTGTAAATTCATATTATTAGGCCATCCAGATTTAACATGAAAAAAAAAATAAACTAAATTAATTTTAAAAAAATCAAATCAAATCCAAGAATGCATGCTATACAGGCAATAAAAGTAAAATTCAAATAAAATGCTTCTCAAACAGATTCATTGTTCAAAGATTAGAAATAACCCAATAGATTTCAAAGAACTATGGTCCATATCTACTGCAACCCAATAATGAAATTGGGTTTCAGTTGGTCTAGATTTTGGCATCTATAATGTATTGTGAACCATCATGCCAGAGAAAATGAAAATTAATGAAAAAGAATCCAAAAGAATAAAGCCAATCATGTTCAATTCCTTTTTCATTACAAGCAACAATAAATAAAGCTCATAAATCTGTTCTATTGTAACAATGGAACTGTATGGATTAAACAAAAATCAATGGTTGAGAAGGCAAGAGAAGAAAAAAGTATGGTTTAAACAAAAATCAATGAAATCTGGTTTCAAAGAAGAAAAAAGTAATAGAAAGCCAGTTAGCAAGATTGATGAACTTTTGCATCTATCAATCACTACCAGAATGCTTGATGTGCAAAACTTATGTTTCATGTTTCTTCAACACCATCCCAATCTTAGGCCCACCATTGCCATCCTTGCAATCAAAAAGAGATAATGCTCCATTTTTATCAATTGATGCCATCTTCCTCATTTCATTCTCCCGTCGTTCGTCCTCCTTCTCTCTTCCTCTCCTTCCTCTTTTTTTTCTTCTTCCGATGACTGGAAACCTAGTTCAACTTCCAAACAGGGTCAATGCTGTTGCCATCATCGGTCAACCTAGATCGGTCAGCGACGGACGGCGGAAAGGGAGTGGAAGAAGAAGAAGATGAGGAGAAGGAAAGACGGCAGTGGCAGACGGTGGAAAGAAGGGGCACTGGTGAAGAAGAGCTTTTCTCTCTCTCTCTCTCTCTCCCACTCTCTCTCTCTCTCTTATTTCTTCAGAGGGTTTAGATTGGTCAATGGAGGAAGGGAAAAGATCAATATAAATTTTGGGTTAAAAAAATATTAAAGGGTATTTTTATCTTTTTGTGCTCAAGTGAAAGGGTAATATGGTTATTTTATATAAGCAAATAACGTCGTTTGAGCAAAATTGACGGATTGGAGGAATCTTGGTATTGTCAGGTAAAGTAGGGGAGGTTACTGTAATTATTCAAACCACATGGGAGGTTCCTGTATTTGTCAGAAACCTCAGGGGAGGTAAATGTAATTTACCCTTTATTTTTATATTAAATTTTCAGTTTATTTATTTCTCCAGAAACATAGAATTATCTAATTTAGAATTCGATGTTTCAATATTTATTCTGTTTATTTTAAAAATTTGTAGATTTTAATCTAATTAGTTTCTCGAAAAATGCGTTGGACCCCAGTGGGGTGCTGGGGTCCTTGTTGATTGGCTGGAAAACAATTTTTTTTGTTTTTGGACTTCAGCCATTGGCAATGTGCCATGTGGCACTAGGGAGTGCTGGGGGTACTTAGTCACTGGGGGTCTCCAGCATCACTCTTAGTTTCCCCAAACATATGAGCAATCTAATTAGAAAATAAAGAAAAGAAAGAAACAGATAAAAAAATAAAAATAAAAAAATAGTTAGATGACGGAATGTGATGATCAAACCTGACCTCATTTTGATCTGAATACGGGTCTAAATATCGGGTAACCCGAATCCGATAAATCTCACAAGGGCGCCCATTTTCATAGCAATTCCCTTTTTGAATTTCCGCCCCATTTTCTCTCTCTCTAAAGAGTGGTGGGTAGGGTTTCAATTTCAAACATCAAATTCACAAACTGAATTGGAATGATCCAAACACTCTCTCACCTTTCTTTCTATCATTCTCTTCTCCAATAATCTTCTTCGTTTCCACAAATCTCCAGATTTTATTATCTTCGTCGAGAATTCAAATTCCCTCTGATTTACTGTAACTAAAATCTCTCTTTCTCTCTCTAGAACCCACACAAAAACTCACTTTCTCTCTCTAAATCAGTAAGCCAGAGAGGGATGATGAACTTCGCGGATCCATCGACGGCGCTCTTGGCGGCTGCCGGCGGCGACACCGTGAAGCTCTTCGACGTCTCCGTTCAGCCCGACGATCCCTGTACATTGAGCTACACTCCTTCACCTGGTTTTCAAGTCAATTCTGTCAAGTGGAACCACACCAGTCAGTATTTCTCACTTACTCTTTCTCTTCACTTCACTTCACTTCACTTCACTTGATTTGATTTGATTATTTTTTTCATTATTGAGTTTGAATTCATTGTAATAATGGGGTTGATTGATTTGGATGTTGAATTTGGGATGCCACTGTTGTAGATTTGGTCTTGGCGAGTGCCGGAGACGATAAGAAGATTTCCTTGTGGCGGAAAAATGGGCAGAGCATGGGGACAATTCCAGTGGCCGGCACTGATAGTGGCGACAACATTGAGGTAATTCTATGAATTGACTACATTTTAGGATCTCATTCATGTATTTATTGAATTTTATGCGAATGTTTGGTTTTATTATGGATAATTAGGGTGAAGAGAAGTAGAAATTTTGAAAATTTGTATCTTATTATAAGTTCAGTATTAGTAAACTTACTGACAACCACATATGAATACTTGATAATGTTAGTTTTACTAAAATTAAGACCCATAACAATCATACAGCTCATGTCCAACATATATGGAATTGAAACTACCAAATATCCTTGAATCCTATCTAAAACATAAATGAAACCAAGCAGAAGCATTCTAACTGAAAACAAATCTAATTTAAGACCTGGTTATGCCCTTTTTCTTGTTACTTGTTAATTATCTTTAACTTCTTTGTTCTGTGGTCTGCATCAAATTCTTGGTTTTTTTCATTGGAAGTTTGAAACTTATTGTTACATCTTGCCCTCCTATAAAGATTGTTAAAATCGGGATCCCAAGTAGGATCGTTGGGAGAGATTAACGGTTCGGATTGTAGAATCGGATCGAAAATTCCTACTTTGAATGCAAAATAAAATGAAAAATTATTGATAATCATAATCTTTATTACATAATTTTAAAAAGATTAAAGAAAATTGATAAATTTGATATAATGTATATTCTATGTTAACATAAATTAGAGGAGATATTTGAAAAATGAGTTTATATTCAAATTTTTTATATAAATATACACATATATATAAGAAATAAATAGTAACAAAAAAAAATGGTAGGATCGGGATTGAAGTAGAATCGGGGTTGTATGCGATTCTACATCATTTTATGACTAGGATCGTAGTGACTTTAAGATCCTACTAAATTTAAAATCCTTGCGTGATCCAGATTGTTTTGGCCTAATTGAGATCGTAGAATCGTAAGATCTTACGATCCAGATCAGGATTCTGATAATCAACTTTTGTTGGCGGGAACCTAGTGCTTTGGGTCACCCTTTTTTATAGGTTCTGTGGTCTAGTCTACTCTATTCTGTTTGTGTTTTGATTGTTTTTGGGGGATTTTTTTTTTTTTTTTTTTTACAGGAATCTATTGCAGCTATTAGCTTTGGCAACAAGGGATCTAGATACTTATGTTCCGGGGGAAGTGGTCAAGTTGTAAGAATATGGGATTTGCAGAAGAAGCGCTGTATCAAATGGTTAAGAGGTCATACGGATACAATAACAGGTGCGATGTACAATTGCAAAGATGAGCACTTGGCTTCCATCAGTCTTAGTGGGGGTCTTATTCTTCACAATCTTGCTTCTGGTGCAAGGGCTGCTGAACTCAAGGATCCTAACAATCAGGTTGATATTTGGCTCCAATTTTTGTCTGAAAGACTATTAGCACCTTGGTATTTTTTTTTCTTGTGTTTGTAATTTATATTATTGTTTCTTTGTATTCTAAATGTTTGTGTGATAATTATTGTGACTAGGTACTGAGAGTACTTGATTATTCTCGGATCAGCCGGCATCTTTTGGTCACAGCTGGTGATGATGGATCCGTACATCTGTGGGATACAACTGGTCGCAGTCCAAAGGTATGCTATAAAATGTTATATTGTTTTAAGCTGCAGAAACCTGATATAACCTGATAAGCTGGTTTTGTTAATGGGACTTCCTCATGTGTTTAGCTATTTATAATTTTTAGGGCCTTTAGACAGTTTGAAACTGTGGGATTCTCAAAATTCCTGCCGCTTTCAAGTTTGTCTAGTGATTTCCATTCAACTACTTAAAACCTAAAATGAATTGGAAGCCGATGCATGTAGTCTAGGGACAACATTAAGCAACACACAGATTGACTTGTCTCTCTTTAGCGAAATTATGGCTCTTCTGTTTATCTTTTGGTGCAATTGTATTATTTTTAAATGGAATGACAGGAGAATTTTTAACCATTTGTTGAGTGGTCCAAGATGCATGGTCCAAGATGTTTATTGATAGCTGTCTCAGTGCAGATGCATTGGTTCAATTTGTGAAACTGAATTACCAACTTTTAAGTTTTAAATTTACAACACTTTGTCATAAATTTTGACCAGAGCTTTGTTTCTAGTTTTATGATGTACTTGTCAAAAGATGTTTTCAGTTCTCAATTGGCTATCTTTTTGCACTTTGCAGGTTTCTTGGTTGAAGCAGCACTCTGCACCAACTGCTGGTGTTAGTTTCTCACCGTCAAATGACAAGGTCTCTTATTTATAATATTACTTTGATTTGTTTCATGTTTGTATGGTAAATGGAACCCACACTGTAAATTGTCTGTGGATGATGAAGTTTCTTAGGGACAAATTTGGCCATATCATTCTGATCATATCTTTTACTCGCGTGGCATAAGTGCAGGTAATTGCTAGTGTTGGCCTTGATAAAAAGTTATACACTTTTGACTCAGGGAGTAGGAAACTCGCATCTTGCATTTCTTATGATGCACCTTTCTCTTCATTGGCATTCAAAGATGATGGCTGGATACTGGTTGCTGGAACAAGCAATGGGCGAGTGGTGTTCTATGATGTTCGTGGAAAACCACAACCTTTGGTTGAACTTCATGCATATGGCAATTCTGAGGTCAATTTCCTTTCTTCAATCTGTTGTTATTTAGATAGAGAGATCTAAGTTCAGAGTCCTATATATGCTTGGCATATACTTGCATGATATAGCTTATGAATGTGTGTGAGAAATTTCATTTTTCTTCAGGTAATATGTATTTTTCCATAAATTCTACAGATCCAATGAGCTATTCATTCATTCAGAAGAGATAGAGTGTTTTTTAAATGAGCTCAACAATATCTAATGTTAATGAGGTATTGAGAGGATGCTCTTTATAACTGCTATTTACTTGTGTTGCCCTCAATTGATAGTGTTTTTAAAATGAGCTCAACAATATCTAATGTTAATGAGGTATTGAGAGGATGCTCTTTATAACTGCTATTTACACGTGTTGCCCTCAATTTTTCAGTTGAGGTGATTCAATGGCCTCTTCTAGGATGACTTTTGAATGAAGCTAACTAGCACCATCAATAGAGGTGATTCAATGGATGTGTGCCTCTTCTAGTAGATGTTTTATGGGGGCGGGGGGAAAGAAGAGGAAATAGTTATTAACGTTGCAAAACACGCTCATTTCATGGGAAGTTATATAATGATGTTTGTCAATGGTCCATCCAAGATTGTCGCCTCTTAATTTTAGTTTAGATTGACATCACGGTCAACTGATTAACGAGTCTTACCATAAATTACACTTATTATCCTCATGTTTATCATTGACAACGCATTATGAATTTCAGCGGGCCGTAAAAGTATGTTCTGGCAAAGTTCAAACATTACTTTTGGTTTGTATTTATAATAAAGGTCAATGAAGCACAGGTATTAAGTTTCATTATGGTTATTAATGATTATGTATTATGATTTTCATCAGGCCGTCACAAGCCTTTGCTGGCAAAGATCAAAACCAGTTTTGGTAAATGAAAACAACTGCACAGCTGAGACTGCTCTTCTGGGAGGTGCTGTTGAAGATTCAATCCTTATGCCCGATCCACTCCCTTCTGTGACATCATCAAGCCTTTCAACTTCTATAACAACAGCTGGTTCTCGAAACCCTGGTCGTTCAGGCCCTTCTGTAGAGTCATCTTCCATGTTAGCAACCAGTAGTGGATTTATGTTAAGCTCGCTTCATTCATCTACAACAGAAGAAACACCACTTAGAAGCACTTTGTGGACTGGTGGAAATTTGACGAGATTACATGCGCCTCGTAATTATAATTTCAAGGATGATATGGAAGTGTTTTCCCCACTTGTGGAAGTCCAACCTATTACACCATCGCTTGATAAACTTTGGGATCAGCATGAGGGTGCAAAAAAAGATCATCTTCGAGTTGATAAGAAACCTTCTTTGCTCTTTCCTTCATCGAATAGGAGATTTCCTCTTTCAGAGGAAGGAGGTGGCAGTGATCATCCAATTTTTGACTGGAAACCTAGTTCAACTTCCAAACAGGTTTACTTTTTGCCCCTCTCTAATTCCCTTTCAGTTTTATTGAATCACTTGTTTGCTGCCTGATATTACTAATTTAGATTGAGAGCATTAATTACTCATCATTTAAATAATTCTGTATATCTTTCCAATTTATCAAAAAAAAAAATTCTGTATACCTTTCCACTTGAGGATCAAAATTGACCTTTCAGTCCATGATGCCCCTAACATCATATTGAGATGGGAAGTGAACTGTTTGGCTATAAGTATTTCATTTTCTTTTTGTATTGTTTTGGTTTTCCCTCTGTCCTTGTAGGTGAATACAGTCCATTGTTTGGGTAATTACTCCATCTTACATATGAGTTTTACTCCATTTGTGTCTGGCCCATTTTATATCGCAGAATTGTAAAATTCAAAAAGTTTAATCATCACTTTTCCTTATTACCCTGCTTAAAATTTAATATTTGAATACAATCCCATTTTAAAATTCCCAACAATTATTCAAATGGGACAAAGAGCCCTTTCCCCTAATATTTTCATTTATGGTGACTGTATCACTCTTGCTTATGATGTATCTATTCCTTATTGTTGCATCTATCGGTCTTGGTGCCATTTTAGCCTATTCTGTTCCAACTTATCTTCAATTGGTGCCACACTTACCATTTCACGAATATATTCATTTCTAATTATCTTTCCTAATCTTAGCATGCGTAAATCTAAGCATTCTCATTTCAGTTTTGTTGGTATTCGTTGATCATCTAATATACCAGACACATCTCCAATTGAGCAAATTTACTTTGATTCTATGGATCAAATCGTATCCAACCTCACCATTCTTATTAATAATTGAACCTAGGTACTGAACATGTTCACTATTTGTCATCCCTTGGTTTTCAATCTCCACTTTTCATTTATTTCTACTTTTACTGTCACTAAAATTACATTTCATATATTCATTTTTATTTCTACTAATTTAAACCTTTTTGGTTTGAGTGCTTCTCTCCAGGCTTCTAGTTTAGTGTTAATTCCTTCTTTAGTTTCATCCAAGAAAAACCATGGTTTTATACTTCTTCTTTAAAGCATAGCATACAAGCAAAGTAGGTGTATGCATGCAATGAATGCCTCAAAAAAATATATATATAATAATAATAACTCAAGATTAAAGGAAAATACCTCGAAAATACCCCCACAGTATTTATTTATTTATTTGCTGCAATGCTTTTGCCAGAACAATTTAATCAAAAAATATATATATATATATCCAAACTCGTATAAATTGAGTTTTGTGATTCCTATCATGAATGAAACATGGTTATAAGGTCAAGTAACCTTTAAAAATGAGACACAATAAAAAGTTATCTTTTAAAGATCACACCCAATCTCTTCATATATTGTCGCTTTATGCAGGATGACGCCCATTCTTTTCCACAGTTGGGATCCACTCCTAGTGCATCTTCCAAGAGCGATGACTATTCATCTATCACTCCTCCAGAAGCTTGGGGTGGCGAGAGATTGTCTGATAAATTCACCCACCATCGCCAATCGGTAATTTCGCCATCTCGATTTGCAATGATGACATCTAGTAGTCTGATGTCAGGATCAATGTTTTCTGTATCGCAAGACCTTACTTCTTCAACTAGCCAGACAAGTATGAGTTACCTAACAAGTACAAACCTGATCTCGGCAAATTTACGCAACAGGGACAACTCCTCCAATCAAGAGTCTTCACTGGGATTTCCAGAGCATATCCCCTTCAGTTCTATGTCCCTTTCTCTAGGGACAAAAAGTACTACTTCAGGGCAGTCTAACCTTGATTCTCTGGGGTCAGCATTAAACCACCCTCGAAAATTTACCACTTATGCTGAAAGGATGAGTACTAATCTGGCCTTTAGTGATGGAACATCCCTCTCGGTGGGTTCACCAAAAACAAAGAAAACAGGAGCTGAAACGAGAGAAGAACTTTTGAATAGCTTGTTATCAAGGACGGACACATTATCTGCTACAGAACAAAGGACTCTTCCATATGCGAATGTAAGATCACCATCATGGATTTATCTATTTTCTTGTTTGTACAATTTTCCTGTACCTCCATCTATTAAATTTAGGTGTGAACTTGACTTACATTTTGTGAGCTTAAATTTAGGTTTATTCCTGGAACTGTGAGGTAGACTTACACTTTGTGATAATTCAACATCTTGACCTTTCACCCAGATTTCTTAAAGCTAGCCTCGTTTTTTGTTAAAATAGAATGGTCATTGACCTGTAGTATTGTAACAGGGAGGAGTTTCACAACCCCCGAGAATCCCATCTCAACCTGACACACAGCAGGGGTCCTCTTTTACACTTCAGCTGTTTCAACGCACTCTTGAAGAAACTCTTGGTTCCTTCCAGAAGTCCATTCATGAAGATATGAGGAACCTCCATATTGAAATTTTAAGGCAGTTTCATATGCAGGAGGTATATATATGTATCTAATATTCAAGTTCATTCCTTTGCTTTTGTTGTTCTTTATCTAGCTTCCACTCACTGTATCACTCTACAGATGGAAATGTCTAGTGTGATGAGCTCAATCCTGGAAAATCAAGCTGAGATTATGAAAGAAGTTCAGTCACTTCGTAAAGAAACTCAGCAGCTTCGGCAATTACTTTAACCATTGGCAGAGACTTCACTGGTTTTCTTTCACTTTTCATTTACGGTGGCTGGTTTTGGATCTCACAGTTGTTTTCACTTTCCACATCTGCATTGACTTGTGTGGATTTATCCTTAATGAGGGGGGAAAAGAGATGCTAGAAAGAAAAAAGCTAAAAAAGAAAGAAAAAGAAATGGTCTTTATTTTTTTAACATGTATAGATGTGATTGATTCAGCTTGAATGAGGGTTTTGCTTCGGAAAAGCATTTGTTAAACGTTTTGTCAATGTTATTTGTAAATCTTGTATTCATCATTCCTGTGGTTTTTAGTGTTTTGTGGTTTATTTTTCATTCTTGTGGAAGTTCCCATACTAGAGGATATTAACAACTGATTATTGTTATTTTTATTTTTTTTCAGATCCATATAATCTCCGTCTGTTCAGTCTTCTCACTTCTTTTGGCAGGAACAAACAGGTTCAAATTTGCTTCAAGGTCGTTTTCGCCTGAGATCAGTACCCAAGAAAACCCCAATTGCAGAAGGTATGAACTCCTATCTTATGTAGTAGGAGCACAAAGTTGAGATGCATTTGTTTCATATTAAAGCATTTACAGAATTTTCCTTATAATTTACAGAGAAAACCTAACATAAATTGATTAAACCATTGTGGTACATAACATATCAAGTTTAAGCAACCCTCTACATGATGAAGGTTGAAGGAATATCAGCTTGGTTCCTTGACAACCCATAAATTCGTTTCTTTGTAGGAGTGACCAACCCTCAACACTTTTACACTCTTTGTATTTTTTTGACATTTTGTACAATAGAAAAATAAATGAAAAACGTTTTCTATTGTCAACATTTACCAATCTACCACCACCACCACACAAACCACCATTGCTGCTGCAGCTGCTACTACCATCACCCCACGACCACCGCTACTTCCACACCATGATCACCTCTGCCACAACCATGAGGACATCATTTTTTGGGTTACGACCAAGTAGAAGAAAATGTTTTATGAGGAAGATATTTTCTTTTTTTGATCGGCAAGAGGAAGATATTTCCTTGAAAATCTCGTGTAAAAAGTTATTTTTTTTTTTTTTTTTTTTTAGGAATTTCAATTGAGATATTAAAAGTTTAATTTTTGCCAAAAATATAATTGATTTTTTTTTTTTTTTTTTTTTCTTCTAGGAAACAGTTCATATGGAAACAGAGTTGTAACAATATTATGATTACATTTGATTTAAATTGCTTTAAGCATCATCACTTCACTTCATTTTTTCACATCACAACCCCATGAAGTAGAAAAATCTCAAGCCATTGAACCCTGTCCCATTGCCTGACTAGCAGTCACCCCCAATCACATTTCTCTGCACACTCTTGTACTTGTATCTCTTTGCTACCAACACGTACATACACAAATTCAGACCACTCAAAACCACCAACAACCAGTAGAAATTGTCCAAACGACTCTTATTCAAGTCCTTCCCGAACCAACTAGTTCCACCCTTCTTGGTCACATGGTCCACAACACTTATCAGAAAGCTGCTCAAGAAGTTCCCGAGTCCGATCACACTCAGATACAAAGCTATCCCAAAACTTCTCATTGAATCTGGAACTTGATCGTAGAAGTACTCTTGTAGGCCAACAAGTGTAAACACATCTCCAATCCCAAAAATGATGAACTGAGGAGCTAACCAGAACACGCTCATAGACAGATAACCGACTCTCTCTACTCTGACGATCTCTCTCTCTACTTCTCTTAGCCTCTTTCGTTCCACTAACGCCGCTATAGTCATGGCTATAACTGGGAATACCATGCCAATGCCGATCCTCTGGAGGATTCTGATGCCTCGTTCGTTGCCGGTGGCTTTCCTGAGTGCTGGAACAAGGATCTTCTCATAGGCTGCGATGCAGATTATCATTCCGATCGCGGAGAGTGTGTGAATGGAGGCAGGTGGGATCACAAAATTGTTCCCAATGTTTCGGTTCATCGTGCTGCTTTGTTTGACAAAGAAAGTTGAGGTTTGTGCCATACATAAACCGAATGTCAGCGAAGTTAGCCATATGGGAATGATGTTTATGATGAGCTTTGTCTCCTCGACTTTGGTCACTGTTGCTAGTCTCCATGGATTTGGTTGTTTATCTGCTAGTAAATCCTCATTGCCTTCAATTACTGCAGCTTTGTCAAGAAAACTGTAGATAGAAAATGCATTAGGATTGATTCACAGAACTGTAAAAAACAAAAGAATCAAAAGATGATATGTGACTGCATCATTTTTAAGATATATATACCTGAGATTGTTTGTATGACATAGTAGCCTCCCTTGGGCCTTCTGTGACTTTGCAACTTCATACAACAAAGCAGGGTTAGAGGGACACTCTACATTTCTCTTCCTCACTGCCACAACCAAAACCTGTAACATCGGCGTCAATGGACTCCCCTCCGGCACTCTGTACCGATAAAACCTTCTTCCCCAGTAAAAAATAATGATTGTGATTGCCATTGTAACAGTGAGAATGAGATTGGCAACACCCCAACCCACAAAATCTTGCACGTAGACGATCAGTGTGACACCGAGCAAGAGCCCACAACAGAGAGCAAAGTTCCACCAATTGAAGTAAGACATCTTTTGCTTCCTCTCTTCTGGGTGATCATCGTCAAATTGGTCGGCTCCGAAGCTTTCCAGGCAGGGTTTGTGGCCTCCAGTTCCCAGGGAGATGAGGTACATGGCTAGAAAGAAAACCACTTCATGGGTTTTTGTGGGGTGAGTGCATATGCCTGGGTGGTGGCATGGCTTTAGGCTTGGGATGAATTGAGCCATTGTCAAGAGGCTTAAGCCCTGGATCCAGAGGCAATTTTATACATGTTTCACTGGCAGCTAACATTATGCATCAAATCATTTGGGTAAAAAAAAAAAAAATTAGTGAATTGTTTTTGAAAACTATTTTTGAGAATTTTTAATTTTATTTTTGGAGATAACCAACCTTTAAAGAAACGCTAATGAAAAATGAAAATGAAAAGGCGACCTAATATGCAAATAAAACTATATAAAGCAAGATTGTGTGCTTAATGACAGAGATAGAAGGGGTGACAAAAATTAAAACCAAGGCCTTTTTGAACCATAGCATAAGCTATTAAAAAATGAGTTTAACAACATATATTAAGCTGACATTAAATATTTTTTTGTGTATGAAATCTGGTTTGTAGCATTGCACAAGGAGTAATGATCTTCAAATGTATTACTGATATACAAATAAATTATTTATAAGAATAATGTGACTAAGTTGTGAGCATATCATTTTAACATAAAGGACCCATCAAGTTGCCTTGCAATTACAAAATATATATACTTATATTGTATAAAATTTCTAAAAAAAATAGAATTTTTCATGTCAACTTAGTTCAGTTTTATTTATTTATTTATTTTTAAAATCACATCCAGTTCAAGCCCCATTTTAGATAGGGTCGAAGAGGGGTAGATCAAGCACAGATTTAACGTTTGATATAATTTACATAAAATTACTGTCCTCATTCAAACTTATACTTTACAACACCATAACCATAATAACCTTTGCTCAATCATGTCAATCAGGCAAATCAAGCCACTAACATATTCAAACTTTTATAATCACAAGCTTAATAAATAGGAATTTTCTAATTAAAAATAAAGTGGTCGTCATAACATTATTAGCTAGAAGATGAGAGAGAGAAGCACCTTAAGATAGAGGATGGAAGAGAGCAAGACCATGGGGAATCGACCGGCGTAGGCATCAGCAAGGAAGCCACCAAGTAAAGGCATGATGGTAGTGACTCCAGACCAGTAGTTCACATTTTTTGCAGCTGTTTTAAGGTCTTGATGCATCACTCTGGTCAAGTATGATATCAGATTTGTTGCTATTCCAAAGTAGCTCAGCCTCTCACTAAACTCAATTGCTATATATACAAGTAACCAGATTAAACTATCAGAAAACAATTATCAAGAAGGAAATTTTTTTTAATTATTTTTTTTTTTTCATTACTGAGAATTTATCTTTTTTCAGAAAATTTATACAAAAAACACTATATTATAGTATGACAAGGTCATTTTTGTAAATACAAATAATTTTCGTTTCAAATTAATTGAACTACATAATTTTGTGTGAATTTTTTTTTTTTTTTTTTTTGCTCAAAAAACATGTTTTGTATTATTAGCAATAATGCTAGAAATATAAAAAATTACAGAAAAATACAGACAGTAAGTGGAGTGTGTTAAATTATCATCTTCATCCGGCTGCAATGAAGCTGATGATAATGCTAGAATGACTTTGATCAAGAAGTAGAAACACTTTTCTCTAACTTCTAATTAAACTGCTTGTTAATCTATCGAAGTAATCTAATCAACTTCTATTCTTAAAACTCTCTTTGTCATCCACATATACGTATATTTTTGTATATACAAAAATTTTGCACGCGTGCATGCTCATGCACCCAATACAATAATAAATACTCCTAAAAAAATAAACAAACTTGGTAATATGAACTTACTAATTAAAATGCATGAACTATACTTGATTTGATGAAACAAACTTGGAAATATGAGTTAAAACAATGATTAATTTACATATGATGAAGAGCGAAGCTTTCCAGACGCCTGTAGAAGCGCGGAGAGGAACTCTTCCTCTATGATCCAAAGATGAATCATGCACCCACTTCTCCTGCTCATCATCTTCTCTACTTTCACCTCTGCTTTTCTTCTTAATCACTTCTTGTTCCATCTTTCTTATAAACTAAGACTTATGGTTCCTAATTAACCTAACTAACCAACTAACTCAGCAAAGAAACAAAGAGGGTTGCAAGAGGAAGACTCTTTTTGCTTTGTTGTTGATGGGGTGTGAATGCAAAAACTTGCAGTGCTTTTTATAGTGTGAAGCATCTAAACTAGTACTGCTGTTTGTTTGTGTGACAGCTGAGTAGGTGACAACTCTCTACGTAGTGACGAAAGAGATAGAAAAGAAAAAAAAAAACAAAGGAAAGCCATTTTGGGTGAATAGATAGGTATGAGTTTGTGAGTGAAAAAAAAATTGATGTTCAATTTTCTCTGATTATTAAGGTGTCCCTTTAGTGTGTAAAAGTTTTAGGAATTAAATTGTTTTGGATAAACTTCTCTTCAGTTGGGTTTTTCAATTGAGGTATGTTGTTGAGTTTCTATGGGCTTACCACAAAATGCATATTGATGATTCGAATTGTTTAATGTGTAGGATTCGTCAAATACCAATAATTACTTGATCAAAATACATTTATACCAACAATTTATTTTTAAAATCATAGTTACCGTTGACACAATTTTGATCTGATCAAGTGGCTATTGATATCCTATCAATGTGATTTTTTACAACTATGAAGAACTCGACGAGTCCTATACGTTGAATAGTTCGAATCATCAATGTGAGTTCCGTGGTGGGTCTATAGAGCCCAACAGCACTCTCCAGTCTGATTTTAGATTGGAGACAAGCATGTGCCAAATTTCTTTGTCCTTAAAAGTGAAAAGAAGCGAAATATTTGTTGCAAAATATATTTGGGAACCAATTTCTATCCTTACAAGAAAAATCGTTAAAAGATTCTCTCAAAAACTCAAAGAAAGATTTTTAGCAATAATTTTGAAATGTCGCTAATCAATATATTTTTAGAGACAAAATAATTTGGTACAAAAAAATTTAATTTTTGAAATAGTTTTGGTCGCAAAGATAGTAATTCATCATTAAATGATCAATATTGTTGCTAAAAATACAATAGCAACTAAAATATTTGGTCCCTAAAAAAATAATTTTATCTCTAAATTTGTCTCTAAAACTTTAATTTGTTGCATGTTGTTATTTGGTGTAGTAATTAAGGAGAAATCTACCATGTTCTTTGTGACATCTTAAATAGTTAATTAATACCATAATCAATCACAATAACAATAATAATAATAATGATAATAATGATAGTAATAGTAAAATAAAATAATTAATGTTGTAGGTGGTAAAATATAATTTAAAACAAAAATCTTGGTCCAAAAAACGAAAAAAATTTAGCATAAAGGATAGAGAGTGTACACGCATAGCTTTGGTGACATGCATGCCTTTGCAACACTTGTTGGACTGAATTTGGACAAGTGGTCGAATTTTACGTGTCACACGTTGCCACACATTAAAAGCTATTGAAGGACAAACACAGCTACCAAAAAAATTTAATTTTTGAGATAGTTTTGGTCTCAAAGATAGTAATTTATCATTAAAGGATCAATTTTGTTGTTAAAAATATAACAGCAATTAAAATATTTGGTTCTTAAAAAATAATTTTATTCCTAAATTGATTTCTAAAACTTTAATTTGTTGCATGTCGTTATTTGGTGTAGTAATTAAGGACAAATCTACCATGTTCTCTGTGACACTTTGAATATTTAATTAATACCATAATTAATAATAATAATAATAATAATAAAATAATTAATGTTGTTGGTGATAAAATGTAATTTAAAACAAAAATCTTGATCAAAAAAAAAAAAAAATTCCCACTAGACATAAAGGATAGAGAGTGTGCATAGCTTTGGTGACATGCATAGCTTTGCAACACTTGTTGGACAGGTGACTAAATTTAGACAGGTGACCGAATTTTACGTGCCACACGTTGTGTAGACACTCCATTTTTGACCGACCTTAAGACTCAGACGTCATCGATTGAGCGCTCGGTGAAGACGCATGTTGTGCTCGTTCTGAGGTTACAGAGTCTCGGCTGAGAGCCTTGCCTTCGGACTTCAGGACTCTTTTGTACTTTGCCTCAGTTTGCGAACCAGGTTCTGTTTTCTCTTCCCGAAGGGAGGGAGAGGTCTTGTAGACCATCTCTTAGTGGCCGTAGGCTACTTTTCGTGGTCGTAGACCACTGTTCCCGTTTGGAGACCAGTTTTCGATTTTCGGAGCCGTCGGCTGTGCGCCTCGATTCGGGACTGCTTAACTTTCTCCGTTTGCTCCGATTTTTGGCACACACCTTGTTTCCTCTCTCTAGAGGGACACTGTGGCCCGGGAGACCACCTTCGTGGTCGCACGCCACTTTCGATGCTTAACGGTCAGTTTTCAGGGCACCCAGCTGAGCGTTTTGGCCCCTGAACTCTCGTTTTGCATCCGTCTTGGTTTATTTTTGGCATGGACCCTATTTTCATTATTTTGGAGGTGGTACAAGGGTGGGAGACCACCTTTTCTTCTTGGAGATCACTTTTTCCCGCTGGCTGAATTTTCTTGTCAAGTAGCTGGTCTCCTTGACTTTTGAGCCACATTTGCTGGTCTCCCACCACACCACTAGCTTGCATTGAGTGAGGAGACCATCCTTAGAGGCTGCCGACTAGCTTTTGTGCATTGACCCTTTTGACCCTAGTCGGCCGACCAAGGCAAGTGGTCGGCCGACCACTTGAACTGGTCGGCTAGCTTCCCCCTTTTCTGTCTCACTAAGTTGATTCCAGCTGTGCCAGCTGGAGGACACAGACTGGATCCTCCATACACGTGTATGGAAGATCTTCACTCTTGGTTTTAACCTTCTAGGAGAAGCTTTGGACCCTTGGCTCTATAAAGGAAGGGCTCATCTTCCTTTACAAGGGTTCAAGAGTTGGCTAAGGCACATACATACATATCCCTTTATATTTCTCCCTTTAGGCCTTGAAAGGTTGAAGTTCTTGACCCCTTTGCATACCATCTCCTAGCACAACACCTCCACTATCAACCTAAGCACTTTGGAGCTTGTTTTTAGAGGCTAAAGAGTTGCTGTTTTGGTCCAGAAGCTGCTGAAGTGCTTGAGCTTCAAGGGTAACACCCTATTCCCTCTTTTGGTCTTTATTTTGCTTCATCTTTTAGCTATACTTGAAAGCATATTTGGGCTTTGTCATAAACTGAAAAAAGTCTTATTTTGAGGTCCTTAACATGTTTGTTTAAGACCATTTTTCTGTTGGGGGTCATCTACCCCCTTTGCATCCTTCATTTCATCTTATTTTGAGCCATGCCTTAGGGCCTTTGCATTGACCTTTGTTTGGTCTCTTAGCCACTGAAATCTAGCGGATTTTCAATGGCTAGCATGCTGTTTTGAGCACCAAAATCAGAGAGGGGTGACCCTCTCACCCCTTGTCTTGTTTACTAGCATATTTGGCCTAACAAAGGAGCCCTTATTTGCATGCTTCCAAGCCATGTTTCAGGCCATTTTTGGTGGGTTTTAGGACCTGCATAGGCTCTGTCCAGAGCCCATTTTTCCATTTTGGATGTCCATCTTGCATGTGTAGAACAACCCTCTTTATAGCCTATCAAAGGAGCCTATCATTCTTGCATGCATAGACCATGTTTCAGCGGTTTTTTGGGCTTTATTTGGCATGTCATACCATTGGATTTTGCTGGTTTGGTGACCTCTTGATTTCCTCACATGCTTGTGGTGCAAATCATCTTTACTAGCTTACATTGCATGCTATTTTGGCCTTTGATTCTAGCACTTTTTGGCCATGCTTTAAACTGATTTTGTGCATGTTTGGCACTGCCTTAGCTCTGTTTCTATGCCTCATGGTCGAATGATGCTTGCTATGCATGGTTGTAGTTCAATACCCTTGCCTAGCTTTGAGTTTTGGAGCCTATTGCATGCTTATGTTGAGGTGTTTCCATATAGTGATCCCGGTTGCCCCTTTACTATTCTGTTGTGTTCCGGACTTGGTTCCGTGAAGTTGGTAGTTGTATCTATCTTGTTGTCGTCCTTTAATTCCGCTTGATTGAGTTTTAGGATGTTTTGGACAGGGTTGCTACAGGTTGGTTAGGCCTTGGTTTCAATTCCTTGTTGCCTAGTTTTTAGGCGGTCTGCTCGAGCGAGTCTTCTTGCGCTCGAGCGGGGATTGCACACTCCCAGTTATTCGTGTCCCTGCAAAACTTCTGCAGGTGTGATTTTTACGCTCGAGCGGGTTTCTTCACGCTCGAGCGGTGGTGCTCGAGCGGGTACTCTGACGCTCGAGCAGGTAGTACCTTTTCGGTGTAAGTTCTGGGAGGGAAAAATCTACCCTCGAGCGGACTGGTTTTCACGCTCGAGCGGATGTGCTTTATTCTTGTGTTTTGGCGCTCGAGCGGGCCTTTTTACGCTCGAGCGGACCTAGTTTTTGTTCTTGACGCTCGAGCGTTGTGTTTTACGCTCGAGCAGGAATATCGTATAACAGAGGGCAGCTAGGCATTTTTGAATCATTTTCTACACTTCCTCTCTCTCTCTTACTTTCTAAAAAGATATTTTGAGAGCCTCTCTCTCTAGAAACTCCCTTCTCTCTAGGGTTTGATCTAGTTAGAGTGTCCTCCTTCTCTTCGGCCTTTCCTTTACAAAAGAGTTGTTGATCGTCGAGGGCTATCTTTTGATCCGAGAAACTCGTGGTTTGGAGCAAGTTCATTTTCATCATCTTCTTCATTAGGTGTCATCTTTTGAGGTAGGGATTCCTACTCACTCTTATGGTCTTTGACCTAGATTTTTAGTTGTTTTGATAGAGTGTTGAACTTGAGAAATTTTGGGAGATTTTTGTGATTTTGGGCTCATAACTTGTATTTTGGGTTTCAAAGTGATGATATAGTTGTTGGTTGATGATATTAGGCCATTGGGTCAATATTGGGAAATGGGGTGGAAAACCCTAATTTGTTGTATAAATTAATTGGCATAATTAATTTGGGAAAATTGTAAACATATGAAATGGATGAGGAAATAATGAAATTGACTCATTATATGGTTGAAAGGATTGATATTTTATCTGTTGGAGCTTTTATTATCTGTTTAGAAATAACTGCTTGGGCTATTGGTGGAGGGTAGTTTTGATTGTTGTAGACAATGCATGATGATTAGGCAAACTAAAACTAATCAATTGGATATGTCAT